GGAAGGACTGCCTCAGTCAGCTGTGAGGAAGCAGGCCCGAGTGACCCGGCAGCCTTCTCAAGGTCACCCCGGGGCAGGTCCTGGGCAGAACCCAGGCTGCCATTCCCTTGTGAGGAGGATTCCCACTTTCTAAAGAATCAGTCCCCCACGATATTTTACACCGTATCCATCAATTCTTCCAAACTAATATTTAGTGCCTACTGTGTGCCAGGCACTGATTCAGATGCTGAGAATTCAGCCATGAACAAGACCGACAAAAGGAATGCCTGGCCCCATAGAGCTCACGTTCTAGTCAGGTGTACAGACAGAGAACAAATAAATCTAAACATGTAGATAGCATGGCAGGAGAAAACAAAACAGGGAAGGTGACGGGCAGTCAGAGAAAGCCTCCTGAGAAGGTGACATTTGAGCCAGAAGAAAAGGGTGACCTCTCTGGATAGATCCTGGATCAATTATCTACCTACCTATCTAGCCAGCCCTTTGTGGGAGGAGCATTGCAGGCAGATGCCGAGGTCCTGACACAGGCGCATCCCGGGGCGTTCCTTGTTCAGGGGGGGAAGGGAGGTCTGTGTGGCCAGATTGGTAGGTCCTCTGAGGGAGAAGAGTAGGAAGAGATGAGGTCACAGTTGGTGGTGGCTGATTAGGACCAAGGAGGCCACATGAGGCCACTGGACTTTGCTCTCACTCAAAGACAGATGGGAAGACTGCAGTTGGGTGGAGGGTGGAGGGTGGCACTTGATCAGGTTTCAGCAAATTCCCTCTCACTGGTTTGTGAAGACAGGACGTTCTGCCAGAGGGGCAGGGGCAAGAGCAGGGAGGCCAATGAAGGAAGCCATCCTAATAATCCCAAATCAGCTTTTTTGTGGTCTCTAAATAGAACACGTAATCCATACTTATTATTAGAAAAAAAAAAGTACAAACAACATACAAAAGTCCAAAAAAAATAAAAACTATTTTATTTTTTGCATCCTCACATAACCACTACTCACAGTTTGATATATAATCTTCCAGAATCGTTCTTAATCTAATGATAAGGTCATAGTACATGTGTACTTTTTTGTATAACAAAATGCTATCTACATCTCTGAATATAAGTAAATATAGGCCTAACACATTAATTTTAATAACCATGGTGCATTCCATTATAAAGCTCTACCCCATTTATTTACTAATTCTTTATCAGTGGGCATTTAGCTCGTTTCACTATTGCACCCGAGTGGGGCCGCTCGGCAGTGTCCTGGTTTGTCCTTTGGCTTGTCCAGGTTCTTATTCCCCCTTTCGCTATCTCCACAGAGCACAGTGGGTCAGGATGGTACCGCTCTCTGGTTTTATTGATGGAGAGACTAGTGCGCACAGCCAGTGGCAATGTGGATGGCATTTGACACCACGTCTCTAACCGGCTAGCCTAACCTTTAGTATTTTGATAAGTACTATGCATAGTTAAGCACACGTTTGAGAGTTGCTGTTTTTTACCAGAAGAAAAAAGCCATCTGCTATGAGGACGAAACTATCCGTTGTTTAAGCTCGGGTCTCCTATTGGACGTTTTGGTGGTTCCAGCCGCTCGTTCCCACCTGCGTGGAGAGCAGAGACCTGTGACGGAACAAGATGGGTTGCCATCTAACTCTAACCCCAGGTCCACCACGTTTACAAATGTGAATGCATGCCCATTCCGGCCCAGTGGAAAGTTCCCCCCAGCAGTCGTCTGGATCACACAGTCATGAGGGATTCCAGAGCCCAACGGATTCTGAGGATCAGCTACATAAGGAAACCTCTGGCCAGTGGTCACCAGCCAGTGGTCCATTAGGGAATGACCCACAAATGCTCCTCAGGAGCAAGCAGGCAGAGGCACCCCCAGATGGCGGCAGTTCCCAAGTAGCCCAGCAGGTGGCGATAGGGCACAGACTCTCAGAGCCCTGGGAGCCCTTTAGAATTAGTTCGGAGCCACTTGAAATGGTTGAGATGCATTTAGACAAACAAACACAGGTTTCGTAGGATAAAAGCCATCCTTAATTTATGAACAGAAATTTGCATTTTGTGCATTCGTTTTTCTTATAACGCAGTACCCTTGAACTTGTTTTGCATTCAGTCCGTGGTTTGACTGTTCTGGTTCTAAATAAATGCCTCCCTTTTAATGTTCTCTTTTCCTAATTAACAAAGTGCCAAGTCGAAAGGGATAAGTTATGCCCTTTAATTATAATAGCCCCAGGCTCCTGGGAGAATTCTTATCGCTGGCTTGGACTGCACGTTCTGTCTTCACTAAGAAATAGTGTGAGTAAAAGCTTCATGTCAGTGCTGGGTCTGAGATCTGAGGCAGCGGACCCGGCAGGACCCAGCAGCAGTGAGCTGGGTCCCTGGCGTCTCCCGGTCATGCTGTGCCTGATCCTCCCTGGGCACATTTCCTTCCGATCAAAACTGGAAAATGACTGTTAGCCTGGGTTAGTGTGAGAGATGCGGAGTTTGAGGTGCTGCAAAGAGTACCTGAGGGCGGCACGGGAGTCCAGAATTCCAGGTCAGCTCTGCCACCAATGAGCTGCCTCTCTGGGCCAGTCCCATGGACTCCCCGAGCATCAGTTTACTCCTCTGTAAAATGGGCTGGTTGCTGATCGCTAAGGTCTGGCTACAAAAGTCAAAATGTCTTGGACTCTGAGTCTTGGTAATTCCACATTCCTTTCCCCACTCTTATCTCACAGTCTCTCTGTCCCCAAACTGAGAAGGAACTTCTGGTTTCTAGGAGATACGTTCTATACAGTGCTGAAACAGAGCAGCTTTTATCCACTGAGTCATAGGTGCCTTATTTTACTTGTCAAGATGAGCAGAATCGAGCCAGTTCCATTCTCATCATGGTGCCATTTGGTACCTGCAGCCACACGTCAAGGTCCTTTTCTCAAAGGACTTTCCTTCAAGAAGGACTTGCTAGGATGGGTTAGGGGGCAGGACGCCACTTCTCCTCCTGTGGCCTCAGTTCACTCTGAAATGAGAAGTTGTGACTGGGAGGTATCTAATGTCTCTTTGAATACTAAGCTTCTAGACTGAGTAGGGAGAAGGAATGGGAACGGTGGCAGTTTTGAGGGAATGTCTTTGGATTTGGGGGCAAAGTCTCACCATGGAAGGCTTCCTCTCCACATGTGTCCCACTGGGCCAGGACGGACAGACAGGGTCCACCGTGGTGTGGAGCATTGCAGGAGTTTCTCCTGTGCCGGGTGGAGACCTTGGTCATTGGTGACTATATGACGTGTTAGTTAACAGTCTGAAGAACGGGTCTGCCAAGTTGGGAAACACCAGGGCAATATTCTGAGGCCGGGAGTTCAGAAGGTGTAACTACTATCTTAATCGTCTGTTGATTTCATCAAGCTATGGGAGCTGAGTGTGAGCTTACGCTCAGGGGCAAATGTCGGTGTGTGGGCAGCCCCACCCAGGAGGAGGAGGAGGAGGAGTGTCCTACAGGTCTCGGGAGCTCCATCTTTTGTGGAGTCACCATTTCTTCTCCAAAAGAGTCTGATGTTTTCTTCTTAAACCATCACTTGCTTTGGATCTTTGGATGATGCCCCGTGTCTCCACAGAATGTGTGTAGCTGGAGGAATGGGAAGCTATGCAGGAGGTAGAAGAGGGAATAGGAGGGCAGTGTGGAGAAGAGCACTGGGCAAAGTCTTTATTCAGGGAGTCAACTGGTAGACCAGCTTGTGTGCTAAGACTTTTGAAGGGGGGTGGGGGGGGGGAGCTGAAGACACAATTTGCAATCAAAGAGATTCCAAGGATAAATTCTAGCTTTGCCATCTACCATCTCTATGCCTCTAAGCAAGTTCTTTCATCTTTCTGAGTTTAAATCCCCACATGGTAAAATGGGAGTAATAACGCCAATTTCAAAGGATTTCATGAGGAGTAACAGAAACAATGTCTGAAAAACAATTGGCATGGTAAAATACACACACACATACACACATACGTATGTATGTAATTCAGAGAGGAAGGGAAAGGGAGAGAGAGATAGAAACATCAATAATGAGAGAGAATCACTGATTGGCTGCCTCCCGCATGCCCCACACTGGGGATCGAGCCTGCAACTTTGGTCAGGGACTTTTTTAGAAAAACATATATAAAACATATAAACCTAATATGAACACTCACATGTACCCAACACCTGTTTTAATGAATAAAATATTAGAGAGCATTCTTGAAGGCCCTGGAATGCCTCCTGCACGTCCTTCTCCTAACCTTCCACGGGTATTTTTTTGTCACTGTCTTAATCATTTAAACTACATATCTATGTATTCTTATTACATAATATATTAAGGTCTGCTTGCTGTTGACTTTTATATAAATGGCATTACTCTGGATGTGTTTTGTGTTTGTGTTTGTTTTTGCAACTTGTATTCTTAATGTGAAATGATGTGAGATGAAGCCATGCTAATGCATTATTAAATGCTCATTCATTCATTTCCCCTGCTACGTAGTATTCCTCTCTGTAGAGACACCATAATTCGTTTATTCTCTCTTGAGAGATATTATAAATAACAAATGTGAGATCTTGTTTTCTGTTACAAATTCTAATGCTATGAACATGTTTTGCACGTCTCCTGGTACACGTGTTTCCAGGTTTTGTAAGTTAGGGTAAGATTGCTGGGTCCAAAGGAATCAATATTTTCTACTCTATAAAACATTGCCAAGTGTTTTTGCAGAGTGGCGTACCTGTCTAACGTCAGTGAATATGGGTGCCCGTTGATCCCATCCTTGGTGATGTTTTTTTTGCTCAGCTTTTACAGGTTTGCCAGTCTTGTCGGTATGACATGGCAGCTCTTTCTGGGTCTGATTGGCACTATCTTGATTATTTATGAGATGAACCCTGTTTTGTACTTTTTGGTCATGATCCTTCATCTTCAGCGTTGAGTTTTTTGAGTGCTCACCACATCCCAGTGTCTTGGGCGCGGCTGCGTGCGGCTGGGTTAGGGTGGATGAGGGGTGGAGGGCGTGTTGACGGCAGTGGCTTCTTTTCTCTGCGAAGGCCCCGAGGAGGAGGGAAGTGGCCGCTACGGACCCCATTATCTAACGAGCACGGGAGTCAGCGAGGATGATGAGGGATTTGAAGATGACTTAGATTTGGATATTTCCTTCGAGGAGGTAACAAAAATCTCTGCTATTAACACCCAAGTGTTTTGTGTGTGCTTTTTCTTGCTGAACAAGGTAATTTGGCCAATGGGCTATGGAGCATTTTACATAAAACTGACTTAAATGGGCTTTGAACATATCTATTCCCTCTGACTATTAGGCTCTAGGTGATCATAAATGAGTAATAACTAAATACCAACCGTGCTGATGTTCTGTGGGCAGCCCTGCCTGCCGACTTCCAATCTGGCCAAAACATCCTGAGATTTCCCACCACGTAAAATTTTACACAGTTAGGTATTATAAGGAAATGAGCAGGTCCTTGACAATTCCATCTTCGTGATATTATACTAATAATAAGAAGAAACAACCATATATCAGCTTTACTGCTGATTTTCTGACTAATACAAAGCAAGGTACCAAAAGTCCTTGAGCTCAAGTTCTTTAGCCATAACTGGGGTTGGGACTGTCTGCCCCGCCTACATCCTGGGGTATCAAAAGTGACTGTGTTTTCAAGGATTAGGCATCCATCATAATAAGGCCATCTAATTCCTGGTGCTCCTTCTCAATCCTTTTTTGGCTGTAGGTTAAACCACTTCCTGCTACCAAAGAAGGGAATAAAGTGTTGGTGGAATCCAAGTTTGTGCCAAGATCAAACCCAAAGACCGTTGCGAGGCTTGTCCCCCCGACTCCAGCCTCTCTCCCTCTGGCTCCGGTGGCTCCCCAGCCCACTCCGCTGAAGAGAGAAGGGAAGAAGGGCGTGCCTGCGATGCCCAGGCTCTTTGACAAGCCGTGCGATGAAACTCTCTGCCCCGTTGACAGCTTTTGTGCCAATGACTACACCTGGGGGCGTTCACGGTGCCACTGCTACCTGGGCAAAGGTGGTGAGAGCTGCTCCGAAGGTAGGCCCTCAGTGGGGCAAGGACACGGTGGTGGGTTGGCCCCACTGGACACCAGAGGGCAGGTTTGTTGTCCAATTCTGGTTTCTTCTAACCCTTTGTGTAAGATAAGCCTCTTCTTTTTTTAAAATATGTTTTCATTGATTTCAGAGAGGAAGGGAGAGGAAGAGAGAGATAGAAACATTAATGATGAGATAGAATCATAGATTGGCTGCCTCTTGCACGCCCCACACTGGGGATCGAGCCCACAACCCGGGCATGTGCCCTTGGCCGGGAATCAAACCGTGACCTCCTGGTTCATAGGTCGATGCGCAACCACTGAGCCATGCCGGTTGGGCATAAGATAAGCCCCTTCTTCCCTGCATAAGTCATTACATAAGCTACCCAGGGCAAACATGAGGCCACTTCCACTGCGTCTAGTTAGAGAGCAGCCCTCCTCAGTGTGCCAACGGGTAATACCTTTGGTGCCATGAATAAGTCACCCCAGTGGCACCTCGGGGGAGTGGGCTTTCCTCTCATCACAGCTCCACTGAAGAAAGTGCGTGGGGATGTGTGCATGCAGATTGGGGAAGGGCTTAGTGGAGCCCACGTGCAGCACACATGTACCGCTGCAAAGCAGGCGCCGGGGATCCGGCAGCCACCGTTCCTGAGTAGGGAAGCGGGCGACAGTCTCCAAAGGCCAGGTTCTCCCTGAGAACCCCAGGAGTTCAGAGTCCCCGGCAGCGCGGAGTCCAGGTGTGACAAGCAGAGAGAAAAAGAGAGTGAGCGAGGCTGAGCCGATGGGCGGTTTCACTCAGGGACCCCCACGCAACGGCGCACGTTGATTTTTGCATTTGAAGAAGAAGAGGGGGAACGGCCTGTTTCGTGTCGTCTTTTCCTCTTTCCAGATGTTGCTATACAGTACCCCCAGTTCTTCGGCCACTCCTATGTAACCTTTGACCCTCTGAAGAACTCCCATCAGGCATTTCAGATCACTCTGGAATTCAGGGTAAGAGGGATTCCTTGTTTGATGAGTGTCCATTGGACGTCCTCTCACAGGAGGGAGGAGGAGAGGCGGGAGGGGCTGGGAGGTAAGTAGCAAAGGTCAATATGACACAGAGCCTGTCCTGAAACCCGTTCCCAGGGTAGCAAGGACGACGGGCCCATTCACACATTCAAGGGCGCCAGTGAGGGGTTGGGTGCCGTGTGCTATTAAACTGTGCAGGTGGCTGGCCTGAGGGTGCCCAGAGAGGAGGTTTGGGTCCCAGCCATGTTGCTCATAACAGGGCTCCTCCCTGGCCAGGATGTCAGAAGGAATAAGGCATTCTCATTCCAAAACCGCTTTTAAAGGGAGCCCAGATGTCTGCCCTCGTTGCTGCGGCTGTAGCGGAACAGATAAAAGCTGAAATGTGCCTCCCTGGCATAGAGTGAGGCCAACAGATGCCCTCCGCTCTGAACAACTGCAGATAGAATCCAGTCGCGACTTCAGCGTCAAGTGGTTCTTCTGTGTATCTCAGACGACACAAAAATGTCTGGAGACCTGGAAACGAGTCCCCTTTGAGGTCATGGTCACAATGCGTTGTTGTTGTTTTTAATTGACTTTAGAAAGAGAGGAAGGGAGAGGGGGAGAGAGAACCATCGATTTGTTGTTTCACTCATTCATGCACCCACTGGTTGATTCCTGTGTGTGCCTGACCGGGGATCGGACCTGCAACCCTTGTGCATCAGGACGATGCTCCAACCAGCTGAGCTACCCGGCCAGGGCGTGGTCACTATGCTGAGTGTCCAGGAGATGATGGGTCGCACTCCAGGAGAGCCTGCATGGGTAGAAAGCAAACCAGCCTGTCAGATGGGCTGTTTTCACTGTCCTGTCCCCCTGAGAGAAGGGGAGGAGCAGATTTGCATGCTTCTCAGAGTAAAAACCAAAATAAGAAAAACCACAGGCTGCTGCTGGAGAGAAGGGCATTGATGCGACAAGAGCAGCCTGGCCGTGGCCCTGGTCTCCGCCGCGGTTTCCCTGAGGCTCTGCTGGTGGGTCCAGGGAACAAGCAAAGAGCAGGTCGAACACGAGGCGGCCTCCCCTTTGTCGCCTCCTTGACATTCCTCACACAGTTTGTGCCACTGCCGTCGGGGTGCTGGGACCAGGTACCTGGGGAGTCACCGGGCTCCACGTGCTTGTCCCTTTGGTGGGCCCGCAGAGGAGCACGCTCAGGGTTCAGGCTCATGAGTGTTTCCAGGTGGCGTGTGACGGGCCAGGCGATGCTCATGGTTCCTGTGGCTTTTGTTTGTCCAACAGGCAGAGGCGGAGGACGGCTTACTGCTCTACTGTGGGGAGAGCGAACACGAGAGGGGCGACTTCATGGCCCTGGCCATCATCCGACGCTCACTCCAATTCAGGTAACTCTGCCGAAAGCCCGCAGATGTTTTAATACCACCTTATGTTCTATTTCCATTTTTACAGTGTGACAAAAGTAAATGCAGAATGGGTTTTTTTTCATGATTTTATTAATTTCAGAGAGAAAGGGAGAGGGAGAGAAAGATAGAAACATCAATGATGAGAGAGAATCATTGTCCAGCTGGATCCACATGCCCCACACTGGGGGGTCGAGCCCACAACCCAGGCATGTGCCCTGACCTGGAATCGAATCATGACCTCCTGGTTCATAGGTCGACACTCAAACACTGAGGCACGCAGGCTGGGCCAGAATGGGTTTTTGTACACAGGGAACAGTGTGCATAAGGTGAACGGGGGCCAGGTTAGTAAATACTGGAGCATCAGGGCCACAGGTGACCTTTGCAGAATCAGGTACCTGACAACCATTCATTCATTCAACAGCAAGTGTTTCTTGAGCACCCACACGTGGGCAGATTGAAGATAACCAGACCGACTAGACAGATGTCGTCCCAGAGAACAAACCCTAGCTCAGTGATGGCGAACCTTTAGAGCTCAGCATGCCAGCATTTTGAAAAACCCTAACTTAACTCTGGTGCCGTGTCACATATAGAAATTTTTTGATATTTGCAACCATAGTAAAACAAAGATTTATATTTTGATATTTATATGCCATTTAACAAAGAAAAATCAACCAAAAAAATGAGTTCATGTGTCACCTCTGACACGCATGTCATAGGTTCACCATCACTGCCCTAGCTCTTCCGTGCACACATTTAAGCTGCCCCTGGTGCTTGTAAACCTAACTCTGAGCGCATTGGCTCCCAGAGAGGCCGTCAGCCTGAGATGATGTCCGTGCGAACTGAACACGCAGCGAGCTGATTGATCAAAGGATCTTTCCTTTTCCTCCTCCGCAGGTTTAACTGTGGAACTGGGGTTGCCATCATTGTAAGTGAGACCAAAATCAAACTAGGGGCCTGGCACACGGTCATGCTCTACAGAGATGGGCTGGACGGGCTGCTGCAGCTAAACAACAACACGCCGGTGACGGGCCAGTCCCAGGTGAGTCCCCGCATGCCCTGCCCACCCACCTGGCACCACCAGAGGCATCTTGAGGGCCCACCACAGAGCGGAAGCACACTTGGCAGGACTCGGGCTCCAGATGGGCCATTGTTCATGGAGCGGAGCTCTAGCGTGCTCCTGCGGGATCTCGCCACCCCAGGGGCGCTGTCAGGGGACACATCCATCCCCCGTCCACCCAGGAGAGCAGAATCTGCACGCAACATCGTGGTGGGCGCCCAGGGACAGATTCTTTCTCCACAAGGACAGGAAGGCCCGGGGCAGAGGGAGAGCCACTATCAGTGCCAGATGCGAAGCTGGCTTCTGAGACGGGGTGTCGCCATCCTGCGGCTTTAGGAAATACTTCCAAGAGGTTCACTTGGTTCAATCTGCAGGAATCGCCCATTCATCTACCTTTTTGGGGACCATGATTATAGGAAGTGGTGAAATAATTTAACCGTTGGGCTACTCAGCAAATCGCCCAGGTATTCACATATTTGTCATGCTTGGGACAATTTTAGGACTGTGTTTGGAATAAACAGTTTGGGTTAGCAACCCGCCAAGGAACCGAACCTGTAATTACAATCAGTCAGCTGTCCGTATTCTCTGAGGGAAAATGTAGTAAGAAGGCCTTTGTGTATCTGAGGAGAGCTTCCTCCCTGCCTGGGCTCTTTGCTCCTCTGTGCTGGTGAGACATGTTAAATGAAGGGCCATGCCTTGCTGAGCCCTGGTAATGTGGACCCTGATGGTTCCAAAGGAAAAGAAATTCAAGATAATGACTGTGAATCCAGTGAGATCACTTATGCATACATTTCTAAGGAAGGAAAAGACAGAATAAATGAACTAGAGAGTCACATCCATGCCAGAACAATAGGCCCATATGATTAAAATTAAGTTAGATGGGAATAAAGAAGCTTTGAATTTGGGTCCAAAATACTAACATGAAAACAGGATGAAGAAACAACACCTCTGAAAACGGTGTAAGATTTAAAGCAAGGAGGTTCTATGAAGGTTAATAAACAGAACCATGTAGTAACAACAAGCTAATGAAATGATTGGTTACATTAATAGAGCCATACCATCTAGAAAACGGGAAGTGATAATTCTCTTTTATTCTGGTGACTATATAGCTTCCAGAGCTCTAATGGTGACTGATCCTCGAAGAGGATTGTTTTTAGGTCTATGACCACACTCTCAGAGGTTTACAGAAAAACTGGAGCATGTGCAACAAGCAGTCAATGAAACAGGAAGATGACTTGAAGTCCCTGGAATGATCAATTGAAGGAGCGCTGTTTAGTGTGGAGAAGAGAAGATGAAGGTGTGGAGGTAGCTTTTCATCAGTGTTGAGGGAGAAAGACTTACTCTGTGGTCCCAAGGCTGAGCTGAATGGGTGAGCCACAGAGAGCCAATTGTAGCTTTACCTAATCACGCACAGGTCTACAGACGTGCAACAGACTTTCTCAGGAGATGGCTCCCTGTCTGAGGGGATGCCCCAAAAGAAACTTCTCAGAACCTTTGGGAGGGATGTTCAAGGAATCCAGCAGCCAGCGGGAGCTTGGGCTATATGAGTTTTCATATTATTTCTAATCCTAAGAGTCTGTGATTTTAGTGACTGTGAGAATTAATTGCAAGAAGCATATAATTGTATGGATACTCAGGGCAATGTTTGTCTCTCTACTCCCAGGACGTGCTAAGCAAGTTGTGTGAACAGGACCACAGATGTGGAATGTTGAATAAACGGCCTTCGGGAGAAAATGACTCTGTCTTAAGCTAGAGTTCCTCAGAGACAGGCCGCAGAAGGAGTCTTGTGCAAATGGTGCATGAACGTAGTGTTGCCATAGGAACCTGTAAGGGAGGGAGAGATGGACAGGGAAGGGCGAAAGTAGGCATAGGTGAGCTCTCAGGGGGACCTCTTCAGGGTGCGGCTGCAGCCTGACCCCACAGGGGAGCTTGAGGATACCTTACACCTCTGGGTGACTCCAGCCCAAAGCCAGCAGGTTGGATTTTTGTACTTCTGCACTCATTAGAAACTGTTAAGGGCTGTGCTGGGGGAATGCAAACTCGGGGGCAATCCCAGTTCTCTGCATAAGCAGGCAAAGCAGGCTCCAGGGGCCTGAAGGCAGCCCTCCTCAGAGCAGGTAAAGGCCAGGCTCGAAGACTGTTGCCTGGGGTGTCGTGAATGGAGCCTCCAAGGAACCAGCCGCCAAGGAGAAAGGGAGGGAGCTGTCAGGCCCCTGCTGTGGTCTCGGGTCAGGGAGCAGGGCCAGGGTGTGAACATGGAATCCAGAAGGAGCGAATCGGAGGATGTGGATGAAATAAGCCAAGAAGGCACCCAATCCCTGTAACAGAGCAGTATGTCGGTGGCTGGCAAACAATTAATCCTTAAACTTCACTGCACGTACTTAAACCTGCCCAGCTCATGGTCAGTGTACTGTTTACCAAGGAGTCTTATCTGTTCATTAGCAGAGATAAAGCCATGACTGGGTCTTCTACTTTTTGGTAACAAAAGTATAAAGGATAAAGAAGACATTTCAGTGGCTTAACTTCTGGGCATTTTATGAGTCTGGCGGCCTGCCTTCTCCCAACCCTCTTCCATGTAGCCATTCATCCACATGAATGAGATATTTCCATAATCGCAGAAGCGCGTGGCCACGGGTGCCTTCATCTCGTCCCACCTGACGTTCAGGCCTGTGTTTTACAACCTCACAAGCTGCGGTCCAGGCTGCGGTCTGCTGTAAAACTGGAACTGTCTCCATCTAAGTGTAGTAAAACTTAAAAAAAAACAACAACATCCTATCCATGAGCAAATTTCAAAATATTTTGCAACAAAATCTGCTCGCTAATCCCCTCGCCCCGCCCGGTGTTTCCTGCAGGATGTAGTGTAAAGGTGAGCAGGACAGAGAGAGGGTCGATGTTAGCCCACGTCCACACACCAAGTATGACCCCCTTCGGAACACAGAGCAGCCCTGTGACCCCGCCGAGGTGCACAGTACGTTGGTGTCAGGACTGGAAGGAGAACGTTGTTTTTGGAGGCCCAGCCTGGTGCACGGCCTGCTGGGTTGCTCTTGGCTCTGCTCCCCGCCCCTCCTTGCGAGGCTTTCCAAAATCCTCCTTGCTCCCTTGCTCGTAACAGCCCTCCGAGAAGCTCACTGCGTCTCCTGCGGTGACCATGGGTTTAATTTTGCTGCAGGGCAGGGTCTTAAAGATAAATACGATGGTTGTAAGCTACATCCTGATCATGCCCCTCATTAAAATCAGTTGCGGTTTTTGGCTTTGGGTGTTGGTTCCTGAATCACCGTTTTCTACTTTCTTAAAGGGCCAGTACACTAAAATCACCTTCCGGACGCCTCTTTATCTTGGTGGGGCTCCCAGCACTTACTGGTTGGTCAGAGCCACAGGAACAGACCGAGGCTTTCAAGGCTGTGTGCAGTCGCTCACGGTGAACGGGGAGAGAGTGGACATGCGGCCCTGGCCCCTGGGGCGAGCCCTCGGTGGGGCTGATGTGGGTAAGTGGGTGCCAGGTGGGCAGGGGTGCTCCTGTGGGTGCCTTTTTGGTGTGGGCGGGTGTGGGGGGTGAGTTGCAGGAGGGTGTGGGGGGTGAATTGTAGGGGGCTGTGTTTGTATCATCTGGTGACCTGCCCTTGAAAATGACCAAGTGCACCCTTCATGGGCCTCTCTGATGACATACAATGGTGAATTATGTATGTACTTCCAGGTATAGCAGTAATCTATTCAAATGCATAGAGTCATCCCTTCACACAATTCTCTGCCTCGCCACGCATTCAGTGCTATTCTAAGAAAAATAATTCAGTATACATTTTATAGTAAATCACAGAAAGTTTCATTGAAAAAAATATGTAAAACTAAAGTTATCGTAATTTTACTGAACGTTGCCATTTGCGCAAAAAATTAGCAAAAATGGTCCGTGCCACCTGTTAGCGCATGATAAAAACTACCCGCAAATAATGTGTTAAGAGAACTAACCAACCACCTGATGTTGAACCTGTGAGCACCTTTACTCGCCATCACTTTCTCTCCCTCATAAGATCATAACTTTCTGGGAGAAACAGGGCTGCTGAAGTCACATGCTGAGGCCTCATGGAGCCTCCCTGCCCCTCGCTGCTCCAAACTGAGGCGGCCCTGAGGCCAGTTCTTAAACTTAGACGTGGCCTCTGAGTCCTTAGTGCTGAGCTTGATTGATGCAATGTCCAACCAGAAGGAGGCAGCGCTTTAGGTAACTGGGCCACACAGCCTAGGACACTTCCAACATCCTCGCTCTGTTCACATTGCGGGGATTGAATCGCTCTCGCGGGAACAACAGAGAGAGGAATTAATGCAAAAACAACTCGGTCATCCCCGTCAGCGGTCAAACAGTTGCCCCCAAATCTGTTGTGTCCACCATGTTTTAAAGTCTCTGTGGCTGTTCAGAAAGAACAGTGAGGACCCAGCGAAGAGGAAGCGTAGGTGCCACTCATGCAGAAGGCTGGTGCAGCGGTGGGAGGTATGAATCAGCAGGAGTGGGAGCCCACTGTGTCTGTGCAGAGCCTGGGCCGTGGCGTGGCCAGCTCCGGGGCCTTGGGCTGGCTGGTGACAAAGCAGCTGTGTGATCCGTTCTGTGTCCAGGTGAGTGCAGCAGCGGGATCTGTGATGAAACCTCGTGCATCCACGGCGGCACCTGCATGGCCGTCAGAGCTGACAACTACATCTGCCTCTGTCCCCTGGGATTTAAAGGGCGACACTGCGAGGATGGTGAGAAAGAAGCAAGTTGATGGCGATTTCTATCTGCTTGTTAATTGATGGGGATGTGAATTTCCTTCGGTGTACTTTGAGCAAAGCCCATATGTGCTTCTGGGATTAACATTGCTTCCCGGGATGGTTGGGAGAATCTTTTTTCTTCTCTTTAAGGTGGAGTGTCTTAAAGTGTAAGTGTCAAACCAAACTTCATTTTAAGATGTTCCAGGTCAGGTTTTGGGGGCTCCTCCTGGCCCTCAAATAACTTTGAAGAGCTTATATTTGTGCGGCCTGTTTCAGGCTCAGTTCAGAGCATTGACAGCTCGCTGCTTAGATGATCTGAGAGTTTCGGAGGTAAGGTTGGGAAGACATGCCCAGAAACATCAACCCCACGATGGGACGAGAGTGATCTTGTGTCATTTTCTTTGCACTGCTCTGCTGAATTATCCCACCTCTCAATAACGTATATATTGATTATATAAAAACATATATAATCAATTACACACACATAAGTATACATATGTAGAAACATGTGCACACACAAATACACATATGTAATAATGGAAAATGTTTAAATATTTTGGAAAACCACACAGAATTGAATGTGTTTTAACTTTTCCACCAGCGATTGAGATTTGGACTTAAGATGCCTTACTGGAGAAAGTTTTTGTAACACTGTATAATGTAAAATCTCATGTCACTACCCAACTAGCATGGCTCAGTGGTTGAGCATCGACCTATGAACCCGAAGATCACAGTTCAATTCCTGGTCAGGGCACATGCTCAGGTTGCGGGCTGGATCCCCGGTGTGGGGCATGCAGGAGGCAGCTGATCAATGATTCTCTCATCATTGATGTTTCTATCTCTCTCTCCCTCTCCCTTCTCTGAAATAAATGAAAAAATTTTTTAAAAAAACCTCATGCCACCTAGAAGAGGGCATAGGAGTTGGGGTAAGTGAGGCTGTTACATGCCATCTCGTATCTCCGTGGCCTAACATAATACAGGCCGATCCTTGCTCACAGTTCACATGGCTGCAGAGCTTGGAGGTGCTGGCGGTGGTGGGCTGGCCTCTGCTCCACGCAGTCATTCAGGGACACAGTCCTCTGATCCTGTGTCCAGCCAGCCGGGGTTGGGGGGGGATGGACACAGGGAGGATGGGGGCAAGTTCTATGGGCCCCACCTGCATAGGTGTGCTCCCAGCCTCATGCCACTGGCCAGAGTTCAGTGAGCCCACCCACCTCACCGCAGGGTGGTGCCCAGGGGAAAAGAACACGGCTAGTTCTGCCTCAGAGGGGTTTCTGACCACATGCTTGTCTCTTCAGCTTTCACCTTGACCGTTCCTCAGTTCAGAGAGTCCCTGAGGTCCTACGCTGCCACGCCCTGGCCCTTGGAGCCCCGGCGGTACCTGTCCTTCATGGAGTTTGAGATCACCTTCCGGCCAGACTCGGGCGACGGCGTCCTCCTGTACAGCCACGACACGGGCAGCAGAGACTTCCTGTCCATCAACCTGGCGGGGGGCCACGTGGAGTTCCGCTTTGACTGTGGCTCCGGGACGGCTGTGCTCAGGTAAGGGCTGAGAGCTTTAGGGGCTCCCCTTCCCCGAAAAGCCAGACTGCAGCCACGCTGGGAAAAGGTGCATGTCACTCCATAGTGTGTGCCCTCCCTGTGTCCCCTGCAGTGATCCTTCCCGAAACCTCTCCTGACTAATACGGATCGCAGGCCTCCTGTCCGTCGTGCTGGCCTGCTGCAAGGCTCCCTTTTCTTACACGGCTGCCCAAAAGGTGCCGATTCTCTGCTTGAAGCTAAGGAAAACGGGCTTGCTTCAGGGGGGAGGGGGAGTGACAGCCTTCCTCTCCACGTGGGGTCACACCGTGCCCTCAGCGGAGATAGGATGAGTTGTAATGAATCAGCACCTTGCCCGAGCCTCACTTGGTGGGCGCTTAGCAATTAAACAGTGACCAGTAAAATAGCACTAGCAGAGCCCTGGCCGGTGTGGCTCAGGTGGTTGAGCACCATCCCATGCACCAAAAGGCTGTCAGTTCGGTTCCCAGTCAGGGCACATATCCAGGTTGGAGGCTCAATTCCCTGGTAGGGGCGTGCAGGAGGCATCCAATTGATGATGTGCTCTCATTGATGTTTCTCTCTCTCCATACCACTTTCTTCCCCGAATTCCCTGGTAGGGGCGTGCAGGAGGCATCCAACTGATGATGTGCTCTCATATTGATGTTTCTCTCTCTCCATACCTCTTTCTTCCTCCCTTCCTCTCTCTCTAAAAATCAATTGAAATATATTTTTTAAAACTATTAACGGAAATTTAATGAACAGAAATGTCCTTGGTGACTTCACTGTGCATTTTGACTTTCCTCTTTGCCGTTCCTTCAGTGGTGACTTACGCTTTAGCGAGTCTTTCACTGCTCCCCGTGCTCTGACACGAGTCCCCAGCAGGTGCAAAGGCCCCCCTCTGACCAGTGTGCTCAAGGAGGCTCAATGGCACGCCCAGCGGTAAATCGATGCCTCGAGTGCTGGCTGGCGTCTGCGGAATGGGTTCTGAGTTGTGAGAACTTTCCCTCTGCCACCTGGTCTGTGGTTGAATTTACTCAGATCGACGGTTCAGTGCCGTGTCTGTATCTCTGTGAGTCCTGGGCGATGCAGACATTTTTCTTGTTTGTTTGTGTCTCGCTCTTAACAGTGTTCCTCCCCTGGCAGTTTCTCCCTCCTACCCGGAGGCCACGCTTCTCGCTCCCACGTGTGTCCATCTCTTCTCTGCTGGGGCTCACGGGACGCCCTGCCTCCGAGCGGCCCCGCAGCAGGCAATCAGTGAGCTTGCTGTTGTTCTGAAGGTGATTGCAGGTCATGGTCGATCCACTCATCTTGCTGGGCTGTCATTTTCCAGAAAGAGCATGTGGGTGAGATGTTACAGCCGTGCGTAGCCCTGAGTTGCTGGTCATAGTTCATGGCTGATGGGAAATGACTGCGTCGGAGTTCCACGATTCTTCAAAAGGCCAGTTTGTGTCTGCCCTTATGGCTGAACCCCTGCCCATCAGTGACTCCTCCCACCGTGGGGGACGGAAGACATGCTTGTACCCCTGGTTCTGCAAACACACTGGTGTCTCAAGACAACTCGGGGGGGTATTTACTTGATTCAGTTTACACGTGATTAGTATGCAACCCGTCTAAGTGTTTGCTAAGAACTGTTTGTCCAGTTGAGAAAGGAAGGCGCCTTGCACAGCACGTTGTACTTTCAAGTGGCTTCGTCCTGGATAAGGAATGACTGGCAGGAGCCAGGGAGGGTTGTGGCTCATCAGCGCCCCTTCATGGAACGAATTAAACTCGTAAGTCAAGGCCCCACTGTACTCAAGAAATAGTGTGGCCAGTGTGGCTCAGTGATTGAGCATCAACCCATGACCCAGGAGATCAGTTCCATTCCTGGTCAGAGCACATACTCAGGTTGCAGGCTCAAACCCCAGTAGGGGGCGTGCAGGAGGCAGCTGATCAATGATGCTCGCTCATCATTAATGTTTCTCTCTCCTTTTCTCTCTGAAAGCAATAAAAATATGTTAAAATAATAGTAATAATAGTAATAATGTTATTGTTTTCCTGCCTGTCAGGAAAGGTGCTTAGAAACAAAATCCTTGAGGCTCTGGGGTGATGAAGAGGAGGCTCCAGGGCAAACCGACCACTGTGATCACTGATGGGGTTTCAGACACCCCTTTGGGAGAGATTTATGTTACAAACCATTCCAAAGACGTCCTGCTCAGTTAAGCAAATTCTGTGAAAGCCTGACCTACCGGAGGTTGTGGAATGGGCCGCAGCGTTTTAACTTGAGGAAAAGGGTGCGGTGGTCCAATTCATTATGAGTTGGATTCAAAAATGGTGACAACTGTAAGGAGCCAGTGACGGCCGTGATCGATACAGCCGGGCTGAGCGAGCGGCGTATCCGCAGGAAACGGCCTCTGCAGGGTGAGAGCAGGACCGAGGCGCCGTTCCTCTGTGTGGACACGGGCCAGCTGAAGTGCCGCTGGGTGCTTTATTGCCTATTGATTTAGCCAAGGCGATTAAATCCTAATTGCGAAGGACAAATCACAAAAGCATTTGCCAGAGCGAAAAATCAAGTAAGGGGTGACGACCTTTCAGTAACGGGGCGCATTGGTATTCCTGATGGTTTCCCGGCGATCGCCTGGGACCCCAGAGTAGCTGGAGCTGCAGCAGAGGCCAGGGACCACACCACTAGGCATACAGACGCGTGGGGACACTCCTCGTACGCCGCCCTGTAAAAAGCAATGTGCAGGACTCTGACCAGCTTCCTTTAAACTCCAAGTGCTTCCACCTGGAATTTAAAACTGAATTTTTAAACTACTTTTAATCCTGTTCACAATCTCAGAGAACACGCAACCTGTCCTTGCCCCAGCGTTTTATTACGAAAACTCTCTAATGTAGAAGTTGATAGGAGAGTACAGTGAACATTATACCCAAGTTCTATGGTCCACAGTTAATGCTTTGCTATATTGGCTTTTATCCCCCATCTAGCCTTCCTTCCTTCCTTCCTCCCTCCCTCCTTTCTTTCCTTTTTTCCATCCACCCATTCATCCATCCATCCATCCATCCATCCATCTTATTTTCTATGTATTTCAGTGGTCACTGCAAGACATCAGTACACCAAGGAATCTCTGTTTTACTCCACAGCCCATATAACTCTTCTTCTTCTAGGCTCGTGTGCCACAATGATCACATTTTACCCTCCTGCCACCCCTCATCTAGAAAACAAGGCTCCTCCTACCCCGCTTCAGGCCCGCCGTAAGGAGTAAATAAGATAATGAATGCAACGTTCCCACCGTGAAGGGGTCCGATAAGTGGGGCGAACACTAAGTAGGAAGGATCATTTTCTTTTTGCCGAGCAGCGTGAGGTGCTGAGGTTGGCATCCGTGTCATCGGAGCGGATCGATGAACAGCATTCATAACCCGGAGGGTGCTAACCCACGCTCAGTCTCCATCCCTCCGCAGGAGTGAAGACCCCCTCGCCCTCGGCCGCTGGCACGAGCTGCGTGTATCTCGCACAGCGAAGAACGGCATCTTGCAGGTGGATAAGCAGAAGGTGGTGGAGGGCATGGCGGAGGTAAGGATTCACCTGTGCTCCTGACGGTGTGTGGGGGCTGTTTCCTTTCTGGTGACAAAGTGGCGAAGCACATGGACGCCAGGGCCAGGCTGCCTGGGCCACACCCGAGCCCCCGACCTGCCAAGTTACTTAACTTTTCTCTTCTTCAGCTGTGAGCGCGGACAATCGCAGCAGACGCCTCACAGGACAGCTCACGGATTGAGTGAGCTAATTCAAGGGCAGCACCTGAAGCATTGCCTGCCGCCCCCTTTGTTCCTGTGGGCGTGTAGTACAGTAGACTCTGAAATCAGACTTCGGGGTTCAAAATCTGGCTCCCTTTATTTACCAGTAATGTGATCTCAGACTCTGAGTTTGTGTTTTCTCATCTATATAATGGGGGGTAATAATAGTCCTACCTCATGGAGCTGTGCAAATTAGAATATTGATATATGTCACACACAACAGTCCCTGGCATAGGGTCAGCACTGTTTAGCTTTACTTATTAGTAGTATTGATATTGTACTTTCATGGCCTGAATTTCTACTCAAGTTTCCAACTTGATTTCATTTCCAGGGATATATCCGAAGGAAAATGACATTTTTAAGAAGAGATAGGAGAGATTTGCTTTAAGCTATAATCTACTAGGATTCTGCACACCCCAAAAATGTACAGATGCCTAAAAAAATGTTTGACTTTATTTTGTGCATTGCAAGATTTAAAGAGGGCAATGGTGAAGGTGGGTGTTCTGCTGAGAAAATGGACCGACAGAAAAAAAAAGGAAGGAAAAGAGACTTTGGGTGGGGACAGAGGTATTTGGTGTAGGAGGAGAGAAGAAAAAACGTGTCTGGGAACCACCTCAGGGACAGCAGGGGGAGAAGGGGTGTCCCGAACCTCCCTGGGAATTAGAAGAATCCCAAACGGCCTGAAGGTTAGCAACAGAGACAGTTCAGTCTGTGACCTGACGAAGGCAGAGCTGTGGCACCTGAATATAACAATAGCCGGCCATGCTGAGTGAGGGGTGCGTGTCCAGCTCAGTGCCAGGAGGGGCGAGACTGTGCCCAGTCAGTCACACACAGCCCTCGGTACCAGCAGCTCATCACAGGGTCCACTTCCCACTCATGCTCCATGTCCGTCCATGGCCAGTGGCAGCTTCCGTCTGAGACCCAGACTGGAGGCCCTAGGGGTCAGGGTGAGGCAGGGCGAGCCACTCCCAGGCTCCGAAGGCTCCTGTCCAGCAGTGGTCCATGTCTCTCTTGCTCCCGTTTCACTGAGATCACAGGCTGCGTGCCCCACGTGAGACGGACAGGGTGGAGGCCGTCAACCTGGCGGGGCGGGGTCCTGCTGGCTGAGCATCCACCCCTTTGCTGTGACGCATCCGCATCTGTGAGGCAGACACTGCGGTTCCCCTTTTGTAGATGGTGAACCTGAGTCTCAGAGAGGCTGTGAAATTTACAGACATCCAGCGAGGTGGTGAGGGGCCACGCAGAGCCCTGTGAGCGTCAGACCAACATGAAGACAGATTGTCCTGATGGGTCTCCAGGGGACCCGAGGGCGCATGTGCTAGTCTTGACCATCTTTTCTCAACTTTACACCATGTTTTGTTTCACCTGTTGGCAGGGCGGCTTCACGCAGATTAATTGCAACACAGATATCTTTATTGGCGGGGTCCCCAGTTACGACGAGGTGAAGAACAAGTCGGGCATCCTCAGGCCCTTCAGCGGGAGCATCCAGAAGGTACGGCTCGCTTGCTCCTGGTTGTTGTGTGACCTTGACTCCAGACAGTGGGATTGAGAATTGTGACCAATGCTCAACCCGCTGCCCCCAGGGACATTTTGAGAGAGTTTTGACATGTTTAAGATTTCATTTGTGAATATTCACAGCAAGCTTTCCAACCCCACGTCTTATAAAGTCTCAGTCTGCTCCTGGGTCTGTGCCCAGCAGACATAGCATGAACGCAACTTGAGGAAGATGCATTTTTACAGCAAATCCACAAACATATCCTGGTCCTGGCACCAGGTCACTTCCAAAGCTTCCACGAAAGGGAAGGAGGTGAATGGATCTAATAGCAACTCTTGGCTCTACGCTTCTCTGTAGCTTACCGGGCAGTTTGCTGAAGGCAAGAACCAACTCTTGTTGCCCCTCCCCACCCCCCACTTTACCGATGGTTCATCAGTCGCGTAACCCAGTTCTCAAGAGCGTAGAGTCCTTCCATAGAAGGTGCAGGAGGAAACCGCTCAGCTAGTGACAGACACAGGGCACGGACCCCACTCATCTTCATCTCTTCCTCCTTCCCCAGGGGCTGCCCTGCCATGACTCTCGGGTAGGAGAAGAGGGAGTTCTGTCTGCAGCAGACATGCAGGGGGACAGGGACTTGAAGGGAAGCATGCTGGGTTCCTGGGTGTTAGCGTCATCTAGTTTTCCTTCGGCCACCAGGGTTGGGGCGTGGGCCATTGACCCTTAAAAACCTGAGGTGGGAGGCGCAGGGAAGGCAGGTCCTACCAGGATTTGCTCCTGGGAGCTGGGAAGGGCCCCTGGGCTCAGCCTTTCTGGGTGAACCAGTGTGGGGTCCAGGCACTATTTGCTGACTCCTATGTGTTTCCCTTTGTTGCAAACGGTGGTGACAGTGACACCTCAATTCAGACCATTATTCCCCCTCTTACCCCCGTGACTGGGTTTGGCCTTGTTTAATCTTGTATTTGAAATTCTCACTTGGGAAGCAAGCTGATGCGCTAAGAGGGTTCCCACCCTCGCAGGCCCCCTCCTGGGCACAGCACACATAGCCCTTTCCTGTCCACTCTGGGGAAGGCCACCCTCCCAGGTCCTGGCCAAAGCCTTGGCTGTGCGTATCCTGCGGCGACTGGTGCGGTGAATGGCTTGCCTCAGCTACGGTGACAGTTTCACAGCCCTTCACTCACGGCATGAAAAGGGGGAGGTTATGGAGAGAGTCTGGCTGCTCTCCAGCAGCTTCTGAGATTCAGAAGGAGGAAAGTTTGCTCCCAGCTCAGGACCAGGCCAGCCTATGGAAATGGGGGTTAGTGGCCGGAAATGCCATTGCTAACTGCTTGGACCCCCTGCAGGGTGGGGTGTCCTGGGGCACTTTCTCTCCCTGAGTTCTGCAAAGCCTCCCCCACATGGAACACCAGCAGCTCAGGTAGATACACAGTCTGAGTCAAGGGCTGGCAACAATGGGTGTATGTATTTGGGGTGGGAGCCCAGTAAGCTATTCCTAGAATTCCTCTTTCTCCAGAGCCCGCTTCAGGGAAAAGGGGTGGGGTCTGGAGCGCTCTGGCCCCAGTGAGCATGCCCAGCAGTGGTGGGAATGTGACCTGAGTTCCTCCTTTTTTCTTTAATGATGAGGAAGGGGTTGTAGAGGGGAAGGGAATTCAAGAGTGTCCGGGAAGGAGGACAACAAGAACTGGGGGGCCCTGGCTGGTTGGTTCCGTTGATTGGACCATCATCCTGTACACCAAAAGGTCGCAGGTTCGATTCCTGAACAGGGCACATACCTAGATTATGGTTTTGATCCCTGGTCAGGTGCATACAGGAGGCAACCAATTGATGTTTCCCTCTCACATCCTCACTTCGATGTTCTTTTCTCTTTGTTTCTCTCCCTTCGTCTCTTTCTAAAAATCAATAACACATCTCCTCGGGTAAAGATTTTAAAAAAAGAGAGCAGGTGAGACCATCGGGAGGGCCCCACTGATGGAGCCTGAGGCAGTACCCCAGGACATCAGTCGGGCAACAGAGCAGTCCAGCGAGAAGCCGCTCCTCCACCCTCACCTGAGCCTCCACTCCGTGTCGGTTCTTTGTTCTGGATTCTTCCCTGTCTCAGCCTCAGCTGCATCTCAGGACCACTGGGAAGCCTGGAAATGTTACTGATGACTGGTTGCACCCTCAGAGATGCTCACTCAGATATCTGGGTGGACCTGGGTGTTAGTTATTTCCTAAAAGTTCCCGGCGATTCTGAGAGGCAGCCCGGTGGGGACCCCACTTCCTAGGGACTGGGCCTTGTCTTTGAGCTCCGAGCCACCAGGCCTTCCAGACCACAGCACAGGCCCCACGCGCCCCGGCCATCAAGTCGGTTCCCGCATCATGTCACTCAGGACTACGAAGGCCACTACCGGCCCTTGTCTCCTCTTCCCGAAGCTCTCACTGCGCGTGGTCTGGGTCAGTGGCCGAGGGACCCTTCACACACCGCCGAGTGTTTCCCGGGCCCCTGACTGTCTTCGCTTCCTCCCCCAGATCACCCTGAACGACCGTGCCATCCACGTGAGGCACGACTTCACCCGCGGCGTGAATGTGGACAATGCAGCCCACCCGTGCGTGGCGGGCCCCTGTGCCCACGGGGGCAGCTGCCGGCCCCGGGAGGAGGGCTACGAGTGTGACTGTCCCCTGGGCTTCGAGGGCCTGCACTGCCAGCAAGGTACGCGGGCTGGGACCTGGCCGGGCCAGGGCGGGGAGGGGACTGTTGGTGACAGCAGGCCAGCCAGCCCCGTTATTTTCATCAGCGATTTCAGTGTCATAGTCGATGGCTAATCACATATAAACTGCTATACTTATTTAACGATGAAAATGCTGGGGTGCTCCTGTAACAGGAGGTGAACAGCTTCCCACCTGACTGTCCTGGCCCCTTCCCTGAGAATCCCCTCATGGCCCAGCATCCAAAAGTTTAGCCCATAATATAGGGGGGCTCCCAGGACCCCCCTGCATCTGAGGCACCCCCAGAGCCCATCCTGATAGGCTGGTAAATGTTTTGCCTAAACATTTATGAACATTATAGTAAAGAAATCTTACCAAATACAGAAAAATACGAATTGTACTTGGAAAGTATTAATAGCCTTCTGTAGAGTGCTATGTTCCCTGCCACCTAAGTCTCCCCTGTGCCTCAGTTTCCTCATTGTGAAGTGAGAATAAAAATAGCAATAGTATCTAATGCAGAGGGTGTGCGGGGTCAATGAGACGATGCATATTCCATGGGAGAATGCCGGGTGGGCACTCAGCCAGCACCAGGCTTTATTGCTATCGGTGAGAAAAATAAAAACCCATTTGAGTGCTCAGCTTTTTTTTTTTTTATATATGGAAATGCCACTAGGGCTATCCTTTTTTTAAAAAAATATATTTTTATTGATTTCAAAGAGGAAAGGAGTGGGAGAGAGAGATAGAAACATCAATGATGAGAGAGAGTTACTGATCGGCTGCCTCCCGCACGCCCCCCACTGGGGTTCGAGCCCGCAATCCAGGCCCCTAACCAGAATCGAATCCAGGACCCTTCAGTCCACAGGCCAATGCTCTATCCACCGAGCAACATCAGCCAGGGCTAGTGCTCAGCTTCTAACCTGCCCTGTCCGAGAGCTGGAGCAGGGCAGAGTACTGGCTGGAGGGAGGTGGGACCGGGGTGTCAGAGGCGGCCTGCCCTCATACGGGCATCACCTTGGGCCACGGGGAGCTTCTTGTTCAGGGGTCAGGATGGCCTCACTGTTTAGGAACTAATTTTTTAAAAGATGGATAGGCCCTGAGGACATCAGGCACCGCCCAAGTGAAGGCGTGTGCTGTCTTCCTTGTGTGTTTCTGGTTCCTGGTTTTCATCGGACGGAGGGCTTAGAGGGAAACTGGAAGTTGGGGCAGATGGTTCGGGGTATGGGAGGATAGAGTTGTTGTTCAGGAGTCTTGGAAAGCATGAAAGTATGAAAGATGCCAAGTGGCCAGATGGCAGATTCAGTAGTATTATACTTAAATGAATTTTGAAACCTGCACAGCAAATTGTATGAAATATGTGCATTAACATAGCTCACTCTATAATAACCCCCCACAGAAAAGTCCTAGACCCATTTGCGAACGAGCCTGAGGAGAATCCCGAGAAGGGAATCCCTGGTTAGCTAACAGTGTGTACTTGGCAAGATTCAGTTCCAGAGAGGCCCGTTCACTCAGAAACTGGGTCTGGCTTTCACGGGTCAGTGTTTGAATCTTGGGGCCTCCCCTCGGGCACAGGCAGGGCAAGCTGGCTCCTGCCTTAAGCACCAATGCTAATGGTCAGTGCGTGAAGGCCAGGCTCCCATGAGCAGTCAGCAGCTTCGGGAAGTCGAGGAAGGACAGGGTAATGTGTGACCTTGCTGACCCTCGCTTCCTGCTACAGAACATCAACCATGAAGGTACGAAAAGCTCAGGTGTATAGCTTTGTAACCGTGGGTTCAGTTTCAACGAGAAACACATTTTACCAGAATGAAGGGGCAGATCTGCTGAGGGTCTGGGCTACCTGGTGAGGTCCCAGGAGTGGACAGTGGCAGGGGATCTGGGGGGCATTTAGGCCTCTTTCTGCAGCTCACTGGGCTGGAGGCATCAGCTGCCCCCCTTTTACATCGTTACCTCTTTGTGCCTTGAGAAAAAGATGGCCCTCTGGCACCCTGGCAGCTGCTGCCAGTGCTGGCAGGGGGGTGGGGAGTTCACATAGGGGAGGCCCGGCCTGCAAACACCTTCCTCTCCCGTATGTGGCTTCCGGGGATTAATGGGGCTCTGGGTGCAGCCTAGTGCCGCTCAGAACACGTCTCCCAGGCCCCAGCGGGCACACAGATGGCTGTCATCCTGGGGAAAACGTCTAGTCCAGTGATGGCGAACCTATGACACGCGTGTCAGAGGTGACAGGCGAACTCATTTTTTTGGTTGATTTTTCTTTGTTAAATGGCATTTAAATATATAAAATAAATATCAAAAATATAAGTCTTTGTTTTACTATGGTTGCACATATCAAAAAATTTCTATATGTGACACAGCACCAGAGTTAAGTTAGGGTTTTTCAAAATGCTGACATGCCAAGCTCAAAAGGTTTGCCATCACTGGTCTAGTTCCAGGTCAGGATGGCAACGCTGGGAAGTGGGCACTCTCACTGTTCTGTAAAGATGCAAAAGAACATTCTCAAAGTTTGGGCAAATTCTCAGCTTGAAAGACACGTAATAGTCTATTCGTAATAGTTGGAATCTATCTTGATGGCCAGAGAAAACCCTGCCTAATCCAGCACAGGGGTTCATAGCCTCGTCCATGTAAAGATTCGGGTTTTTCCAGCCTGAAGACCAGGTCATGCTTCAGAAGCAAGACCCCGGTGTTTGTTCCCCGCGGAAGTTAGGCCCGTCCTTGGACACTGAGCAGCGTGGGGAGAATCTCCAGGCCCAGGCCCATTCAGTCCGCACCCAGGGGCACCTTCTCCATCAGGAATGTGGTATCGGGTTTCTCTAGTCTGCACAGGGTGTGTGAGGGCAGGCAGGTGAATCCACTGGGATCTGGTCGGGAGACCGGGACTAGGACCCAAAACTCAGACAAATCCTAGGGAAGCGCTAGGCCCCCTGACCATCGCGGAGGTCTCGGGAGCCCCCTTGGCCCCTGAGAGGTGAGGGTCAGGAGCAGGAGGGCCTGACCCTGACCGAGGTGGGCATGTAGGTCCTCTGAGCCCCTGGGGCCCCCGGGGCACCACAGGCTCGCTGAGGCAGCAGCTGTGGAAATGAGGCCGCTCTTTCAGCCTCGGGAACCCACCGGCTCTCGGACTCGCAGCCACGATTTCAAGTCCTTGACTTTGGTGGTCGCCTCAGCTTCATCTCGGGGCTCTCCCTCTTAGGTGCCTTCCTGCACCTCAAACCTCAGCACTCTCATCCTGAGCCCCGCTTCTCATCTCACCCGAGTGGTGTCAACAAGGCCTCCCTCCTCAAAACAAATGCTCCCCTGCCTTAGAGATTTCTTCTTCTTTCTACTCATCCAAATGTGCCCATCGGACGTTCCAGTTCCTCACAGCTCTTAGAGCCAAGCAAGTTACTGAGAAGTCAGAGCCGCATTTCCCAGAGTGCATGCAAGGATTTAAGTTCTAAGGAATATTAATGGCTGTTTTTCACACAGAGACAGACACACATACATTCGCATGCACAAAATGGGCGGGGGTATTCTGTGGTCAAAGAAGTTTGGGGAAATGTGGTTAAACAGCTCTCTCTTCTGCAGGACTTCTCAGAGCCTTTGTTATGCCCTGAGTATCCCAGACACGGGTATAGGATGCAGCTGTTTTGTCCTGGATTCTCCCAGCCCATAGCACACAGGCAGCTGCTTGGGGAAGGGATAGGACCCCTCCCCTCATTACTGAGAAGTTTGGACTCAGGCGGTGTAGGACCCTGCTGGCCACTAGATGGGGCTATTTCTCTGTAGCAGGGAAGCTGATGCCGCTCACCACTGACACCCATAGCCACTGCGGCCATGCTGGGCATCAGGCATGCGCTCTTCATGGAAGCAAGGTCCTAACATCCGGGACCCAGCCTGATCTACATGGACCTGCAACACACGCAACACTTGGGACACTTCATGTCGCATTTAGTAGATCCCACGCCTTATTGTTGGGTCTGAGTTGGATTAATATTCTTCGGTCCCAGTGTATGAAAAATGGTTCCAGCAAGTATAGGCCGTGCTTTACGAAATCCAAGATATGGAAACACAAAGGAAGAAAAGATGCCCACCACCAGGAATTTCTTTCCTGGGGGTGGTTTAGGATTAAACAATGAAACACGGCTGCTGTTCAGCCCAGGAGCTGGTCTTCGGTGTAGAGCAGGTTTTTGTTTGTTTGTTTATTTGTGGCCACAGAGTCCGCTTCCTGGAGCTGCCCCAGCCCGGATGGGGAGCTGCCTGGGGCATCAAGCGTGTCCTCGGGTGGAGGGCCACATGTCAGGGTGGTGCTGAGCGGAGCCCTGGCTGTGGGGAAAGCTGGGTGACACCCCAGCTCCTCCTGTGACTGCGCAAAGGAGCTCGATGGCCACACCCCAGCTCCTCCCTTCACGCTGTCTGGTCTGCAGGGAATTGCAAGTCCCGGGCGGACAGTGTGCTTGGCCTGGAGGCTGCCACTCACTCGGGTGGAGCACTTCCATGTGTCCTCGGACAGCACAAGCTTTTCGGAATAAATGTGAGGAAGTGACCAAAACACATGTCAATGGATGCATCAGCAAGGCTTCGCCACAGGGAAAAGGCAGTGTGACAACGTAGACATGAAGGGTCCGGTTAAATGCAATCCCGTTTGCCATATTTAAACACACCACGAAGGGCCCAAGGGCTAGATGGTCGCCTCCAGCCCCAGCGTTTGAGGACAGAAGGCACACCTACATGTCTACACGGGTGTGTTGTCGCTGTTTTGTACTCAGTGGTGTCACTTCTGGACGGTTCCCCTGCCCTTCGCTCACCGCCCATGACCAGAGCTCTGGAGTCTTGCAAAGTGGGGTGGGCAGGGGTGGGAACGAGGCTGGTGTTTTCCACTCTGGAGAGAGAAGAGGCAGCTGGCTGGCTTATCATTCCTTTTTCACACGCAGCCCAGAGCCAAGCAAAGTAATAATCACTGACAGGCAAGGTAAGTCACTTTTTAGCAGGAGCTGTTACTCCAGGTTTAGCATAAAGGAGGACTGTCGGTTCAAGGTCGGGGAGCCTCAGAGGTGTCAGACAACTTGTCATTCACGTCTTCGTCTTCTTGGTCCACTGCCACCCCCGCCCCTCCCCGTGGGAAGCTGGGGCTGGGAGGCGAGCGGGGCCCTCTGCGAGGCGTCAGAGGGAAACGCGCTGGTTCCCTAACTGCACAGAGAGGGGGTTTACGTGCCTGTGAGATTCTGACTCTCCCTGTTCTGTTTCATGCTGGCACACGGCAGAGTGTGGGAACTACTGTCTCAACAGTAAGTACAGTGAGTCCTACAAGAGACGGAGAGCATGCTGGGCTGGTGCCAGGCAGGCGTGGCCAGCTGGGGGCACGTGCAGGCCACCACACACAGGGGTCCCCGGAGGAGCGGCGTGGGACTTGGCCATCCCTGGAGGGTGGCGGGCATCCTCTCCCCAGAAGAGCCGCCCTGAGAACGCACTTGAGTCCCCACTGGGCCTCAGGATGCGCTGAGCTCCTGAGCGGGGGCTTCGCAGGCAGCTGGACCGGTCTCAACAGACCCCTGAGGGGCTCCGTGTGCAGAGCAGACGCGTGACAAGCACGTCCTGACCATTTCAAGGAGCCCAGGGGAGCCCTAGCTAGTGGCCACCGGCCCACGTCCATGGCCAATAACAGCAAGGACAGGCCCTGCCTGCACCTCCCACCTAAGGTTGAGCCAAACCCGGAAGGGCATGTTGGTCATGGGCAGCCCCGGGGAGACGCCTCCATCTGCCTGATTATTCTCTCTTCTCCTCCGTTCTCAGCCCAGGGACCTCCTGCAGTTTCTTCTTTTTAAATATATTTTTATTGATTTCAGAGAGGAAGCAAGAGGGAGAAGGAGATAGAAACATCAATGATGTGAGAGAATCATTGATCAGCTGCCTCCTGCACGCCCCCTACTGGGGATCGAGACCACAGCCTGGGCATGTGCCCCTGACAGAATTGATCGAATCCAGGACCCTTCAGTATGCAGGTCGACACTCTGTCCACTGAACCAAACCGGCTAGGGCTTCTCCTGCAGTTTCTTGTCTTGGTTCTCCCCTGGCTCTCCATGTCTGCCCTCTGGGTCTGTCCTCTCCGCACTCAGCCTTTTCCATTCCCCTCTCTTTTCCCTGCCCCGGGGCTGCCCGTCTCTGGCGTCCTTTCTTTTCCTGCCTCCCCCGCCTTCTCTCTCTTGGCATTTCCTTTCCCCTCTCCTCACTCTAGCTTGCCCCTTCATCCTCCGCTCATCAGGGCCTTTTTATTTTGCATCCTGCTCTCTTCTCCTCTCTCCTTTCCTGCCTTTCCTCCCCCTCCTCCTCCTCCCACTTTAACCGGAAGGTGGGGAGGCTGGTGGAGTTTAACAGATGAGACTTTCCTCTGTCCCTGGCCCTAATGGGTCCTCTGGGCCCGCAGGCTCCGTCCAGGGCTGCGTTGCTTCAGAGAGCAGTTTCTCAGAAATTACTTTTAAAGCTTTTATATCTCTTCCTTTGCTTTTCTTGTTTCTTCTCTTTTAAAATTTTTACTTTTAATGAAAAGATTTTGAGGAACATGCTATAGGTGACCTGTCAACATAGGAACTTATTCTTGGGTGCCCAATGCCATTGGGTTTTGGAGTTGGCTGTTATCTCTCTCTTTAAAAAAAAATGTTTAGCCCAGCTGGCATTGCTCAGTGGTTGATAATCAACCTATGAACCAGGAGGTCACGGTTCGATTCTCGGTCAGGGCACATGCCCGGGTTACAGGCTCAATCCCCAGTGTGGGGCGTGCAGAAAGCAGCCGATCAGTGATTCGCTCTCATCATTGATGTTTCTATCTCTCTTGCCCTCTCCCTTCCTCTCTGAAATCCATACAACTATATATTTAAAAAATAATAAATAAATAAATAAATAAACAAACAAACAATGTTTAGAAGCTACATTTAAACTCTTCCGGTTCTTCGTAGTGTCCAGTAACGATACATGTCCTCTTGGGTGTAGAATCCTTAGTTAGGTGTCTTTTTTGCACCAACCACATATTTTGTGGAACTCTGATTTGTTTTATAAGCAGGCTTGTTCTTCTTGCACATTTGTTTGAAAATGAGATTCATTCTGCCTCAGTTCTTTCAACTGTCACTTCTGTGTTTTTCTAAAGAGGAAAGAGAGATGCTGTGATCTCTTTGGGTGGCATCTCCTGAATTATCGCTAACCTTTGACACCAAACACAACCCGTAACCTATTCCTGTGCCAATTGCGTGGAGAAGGGAGATTTCTCAGGAAAACAAAGGGAAGGCAAGTTGAGAGGCAGGAGACAGGCTGCTGAGGTTCTGGAACGTGAAGGGTGGGCTGAGGAGCAGAACCGGGTTCCTGCCCTGCTGCTCTCTTAGCCTCTAACCTCAGGCAGAACCTTGCTGATGTCTGTGCCTCGTTTCCTCTTCTAAGAATGGGCATAACCAGCCCTCCCCTTCTCCAGTCTCCCTGCTGCTTCAGGACATTGTGGTGAAGAGCTTAGGAAGTGGGACACTGGAGGGGATTTGTAAGAACACGTCAGAGCCTCGTGTCTCATCGCTGGCCCATCTCCTGAGGTCATGGCTGAAAGGGTTTTGGGGCAGATTGGCCTCAAGTAGGGAAATTCCGGTGGGCTTATTGGGGGATTATTTCCTCTGCCTCCCTTGGAGAACATCTAGGAGTGCCCCCAGCTGCTCCCCACATGGCCCAAGACCGGCTCTTAGGCTTACAAGAACAACTGGGCAGGTTCAAGTTTCAGCATATATCAAGCCCGTCTCAGTGTGCAGAGGGCATTCACAGTGACACCGGCCTGGGGGAGGGGACAGCAGGGAGGTGCCAACCCCAGGCCTTCAGGCCAGGCAGCTCCAAACCTGGCCGAGAGGAAGGAGCTGACAAGTTGTTAACTGTCCCGATCCCAGCTGGCCTTCTTGCCCTCTGTTTCCCTGCCCGTGGCTGAGAGCTGGGTCAGAACCACGGCCATGTAACTTCCATTTTGTCTTCTGCCTCAGCCGTCACAGAAACCATCGAGATCCCGCAGTTCATCGGCCGCAGCTACCTGACCTACGACAACCCAGACATCCTCAAGAGGTAACAATACGTGTCAACCGGCAACAGGCACCTTATCTCTCTGGGGGTAGATTTCATAATAGTTTTCCCAAGGTTTTCCTTATTTTATGAGCCAGAAGATAATTCTCAAAGAGGACCGTTTAGCCATGGCCTTGGGGGAAAACAGCCACACATCATAAACATAGAAACTAGAACAAAACAAAACAAAAAAACAAACTTGAAAGAGGCAGCCTTTCAAAACACCCAAACCCTATCAAGGAGGTTGCCTGGCCTTGGGATTTCCAGTCCTCACATCTCACAGTGCCAGGGTTATGAGTGATTCCCCAGTCAGGGCAATCGATTTCAGAAAGGAAGAGAGAGAGAGAGAACATCAATGACGAGAGAGAATCATTGATCAGCTGCCTCCTGCATGCCCCTCACTGGGGATCGAGCCCGCAACCCAAGCAGGTGCCCTGACTGAGAATCGAACTGTGACCTCCTGGTTCATAGGTTGATGCTCAACCACTGAGCCACGCCGGCTTCATGCTGCTCTTGGCCAGGGCCTGGTGCTTTGCCGCGAGCTGCAGCAGAGGTCCTGGTGCTCCCACAGTTCCACCGAAAGTGTCAAGTCCATGTCCTACTTCCCACCTTCAGCAGCAAAAGTCTATGTCCTCCACAGCCAGCCAGCTCAGCGAGGGCTCCTCAGCTCTCTTCGTGTGGACAAGGCACACAGAGGTGCCCAAGTCACCATCCTGGCTGGTAGGCCTTGGTGACTGAGGCTCCAGTACCCCCCCTCCCTCCGGTTCCGTTCCCCTGCCCTCCACCC